CCCCCCCCCCCCCCCACGTGCACATAACGCGCATTCCCCCGATACCGTAAATATCGCGCGCGTCCGCCGATATTTACGTTGGCCCGTATATCCCGGGTTACCTTCGACCGCTCTCCCACGGGAGATCTCCGCATTTGTGTGTCACGGGGGGAGAAAGGAGGAAAAAAAGATCACGCGCGGGAGAAACGAGGTCCGACGGAAGAAGAACGCGAATAAATCGCAGCGCGTGACGATGACGACGATGCCGCAGCTATACGTCTCAAAGTGGTTGGAGCGATCTTCGAGCGGAGATAAAAAATTTTCTCAAGTTCAACTTCGGTAAAAAAAAGAATCCAAGATAGAAACAAGGTAATTGTGCGAAATACTAACATAAATAAACAAGAAGAGCGAAGAAGATACAGCGCGCGCGAGCATTCTTCATACTTTTCTTCTGATCGTAGCTTTAATCCTTCTTCGTGATCCTAACTTCACGAGAATCGGCGCCGATTTCCCGACGGCAATTATCGCCCACCCCGTATAATGCGCACACATGTGGGTGTGTGTGTAGTTATCGGACCGATATCCGTTATTCGTTCCCTCTCTCTTTCTCTCTCGTAGCAGCTGTCGTGGGCGGCGACGATATCCGACCAGTCATCGAGGCAGACTTTACGCCCGCGGTGGAACCGGTGCGGGCACGATATCAAATTGAATAAAACGCACTGTCTGTACGCCGTGGACTGATCCTATCGGAAGTTCCGCGGACGCGGACGATTCGCCGCGCCCGTTATTACGTCCGCCCGATGATCGGCGCTACCGATTATCCGGACGAGACGAGATTTTCAGAGACAGCGGCCCGAATGTAGTCGGACGCGTAATCGCCTCCTCGGCGTTTTCTCTTCTTTCCGCTCCTCCCCCCTCCTTCCCTCTCCCTCCTTCCTTCGACAAGATTTCCATTCGGGCTCGATCCGCCAACTTCTAAAGGACAAGAATTCATTTCCGGCCGGGCTTTAAAGAGCGAAGCTCGACGACTCGCCGGGAGATTTAATTCGACGACGACGACGTTAGAAATCTTCGAGTTGATATACCGGGAAAGATCTCATCTCTCCTCTCTTTGCATTAATCACCGCCGCTTATCAATATTATTCTTCTTCGAAGATCGATTCGTGTGAACGACGAGTCGCGTTTCTCTCGTCACTCGCGAACGTCGTCGAAGTATAGAGCAGGAGGGCCCCGATGAGCTCGGTTTTCGGCTGATACGACGTTCGATTCGGTATAAAATATAAATTGACGCGGAGCTCCGATTGATACGAGACGGAATTTCCATTTAATGCCACGTTTTTACGGACGTCAGTCCGCGATATCGATTGCAGTATGCAGATTTGCCGGGATGCGGGTAAAGTTTTTTTCTTAGATTACAAGCAAATATGTACGAAGAAGAGTGAGACTTGAACCAATCGATGATTAACCGGCAGCAATTTCCAGCAACGTAAGATGTCGTCCAACGATAACCGGGGAAAAATTAATAATTCTCTAACTAAAAATGCAGCAGATAACGCTTGGCTGGCGGCAATTTTAAAAGTAGATTAAAGGAAGACATTCTTTTACTTATTTTGACAACAAACTGCCTTTCATTTCTATCTTTATCTTGGAAACTCCGCCGGCTGAGTTGATCGTCAATTAACTCAGCTGGGATTTGATAAAAGCCGCTTCTTCGGCCAATTCAACCTATTTCGCTGGAACATTTTCGTAAAGTGCGGTAGAAATTCCCTTTGAACTAAAACTTATTTCACTTTCGTTCGCCGTTTTCGTTCTCCCTGTGCAACGAATTCATTCGGATCGTTTTAATAAACTGAAATTATTTCATACGTTGGAAAATCCTTATTTTTTATTATGTCATCCTTCCAAAACATTCCGAGCGATAAATTGAGAGTCGTTGAATCGACTTTCATCACGAATTTTCACAACGGATCTCTAAACCGATTACCACGCGTCGTAATAATTTCGAATAGCGCGAATTTTTGAGCGATATGAGAAAGAGAGAGAGAGAGAGAAAGAGAGAGATTTTGTGGGACACGTCGTTCTCTCTCTCTCTCTCTCTCTGCTGATCGAGGCCACGTTCACGCCTACGTGGCGTCCAATATCTCTCGCGACGTTTCGCTTTTGCCCCGCGAAATTAAGTCGAGGATTTCTCACTCGTGTTGCAGCTGTCTGGCCTGGTGGTGGGTGGAATTGGTATCTGGACGGTAGTGTCGAAGCACAGCTACGTGTCCCTGATGTCCACCTCGACGTATCCCACTTTGGCTTACGCCCTGATCGTCGCAGGTGTACTGGCCGTCATCGGTAGCTGGCTCGGATGCGGCGGCGTAACCTCGGAAAATCGATGTGTCCTTCTCATAGTAAGTCTTACCGGTACATTAACGCTTCCCGTTGCATGTGCATAAGTTGAAAACCGCATAAGTAACCCTAATTATAACAATAGTGTTATAACGGCTTTAATTATCACAGTTTTCGCTTTATCTGGCAAAACAAGGCAAAACTGCGTAATTTTCCGTCCACTATGTTACCGCGTACGTGACACCGACTGTAACAAATTTGTTAAGGGAAACAAAAGTTGGCAAAATGATTACCTAGCCTTTCGTTCTCCCCTACACTCGAACGTTTCGCACGTCCGAATATAATTATTCATTAATCATCGTCGCGTTCTCGAGTTGCACTAATCGACTTTCGGGAACCGATGTGAAGTGCCGGAGGAGTTCGGCGCGCGGCGATATAGTCGGATCGATTACAATAATAATCCCTCTCTGGCAGCTCCGTCGACGCGCTCGCGGAGATCTTAATTCATTAGATGATAAATGGCAAATAAATTACGCGATTCACCTCGCTCGTTGCGCCAGCTTCGCGGACGTACTTCGTCGCCGAGAACGGCGACGGAAAGTAACGAGTTTGTCAACTGGCGTTATTCCCGTTCAAAGAGAAATATCGAGCGAAGTCGTGGGAGATCCCCTTCCCCCTCTTCTCCTCTTTCTTTCTCTTTCCCCCTTTCTCCCTGCCGGCCGGTAGTTCGCTCTTATCGGCTCTAAGAGAGAATCATTCGTCACCGAGGCGTTATCGGCTGATTAATTAATTCCCCGGCTGGCGGACACGAGATCGAAATAGCGACGCGAGAGAACCTCCTCGAGCCGGCGAAGGAGAGTGGTTATCGGGGAATCGAGTATCAGGAAACGAGCCATCATCCTTAAAAATTACCCCCGCATTCGCGTTAGATGCGCTTTTGTGCGATCAGCCGCGCGACGATGTCGAGCGGCGGGGCGTCACGTGTTGTGCGCGCTTTGCTCTCGGGTTACCGGAAGTCCAGCCGGAACTATTTTGCCGGCCGCACGATATGCAGAAAGGCGCCACTCGCTTATAGTCGCCCCGCTCGTGTACGTAGATAAGGCGTATGCAATTTTAAATCGCTATGCAGGGCGTTTTATGCGCGACAGAATTTTTTTACGACCGCGCGCGCGAGCTGTTTTGTACATGATGGTGCATCTTTGAAGACGAGGTGGTCCCATGCGCGAGAAAAGGTGAATCAGGAATATTCAGAAAAAATTTCCCTCACACACGAGGGTTTATTTCTGGGCAAATGGATCCTGAAAATTGATTGCGATTATCAATAATTTCCGCTGTTCGAGAGAGATTGTAAAATTCTGCGTTTTCAGTGGCGACTCAAGGGAGCCATTCGTAAATTTCGTATTTATCGTTTCGGCAATTACGTTTTCATACATTTACTTCGCTACCTAAATAATAAATAACAAATGTTAACTTGAAACGAAGATTGAGATAAATATAAATATATATGCGCAATATTACAAGCATTTGAATATTATTATTTTTATTTTTTTCTTATTAATGCTAAATTTATGCATCAGTTGCTCTAATAGAACCATATATCACAAACACAACATAAATAATGTATTACACGTTATCTTCGGTTATTTTTTCAACGAAGAAATCAGCAATTCTCTGGCGAAATGCAGCAGACAGTGCATGACTGATAACAATTTTAAATATAGATCAAAGAGAAAATTTTCTTATTTACTTCAACAACTTCCTTTTTATCCTTACGTTGGAGAAGCCGGCTCCGCCGGCTGAGTTAATCATCAATTAAAATTCGGTTAAATTAAAATTAAAACTATAAATGAATATAAATTCGAATTGGATAAAAGTCGCTGGTTCCGATTGTTCTATTTTATTTATGACTTGACGTACGAATCTCAAAGGACATTCAATGTTATCCAAACTGAAAATAGCAAAATCATTGATGATTATTGATTTCTCGAGATCAATCTTTTCCAAGACAGAATCTCATGCGAAAACATTTTATTTATATTTGACTTTTTTTTTCATATGCCTTCTCGGCTGTAATGCCGGTTGTGGGACACACATTGTGTATATCAAACACGACCGACTTCGCGGTGTAAGCAAACAACGGAAGGAAGGGGGGAGGGGGGCAATCTTGGCACAAGTGCAGAACAAATATTTTTCTGCTTTCGATTTTCACCCCGCTACGTGTGGTCCGTGTAATAACGTAGAGAACTTTCGAAATGAAACCAGGCTAGATACACCAGTGTGACTAGAATAATATCATTTGAACCGAGTGGATCGCGGAGTGGTAACTGAACATGCGCAATCCAATGAAAATTATTTGCGCGTTAGCCCGGTATGTAAAGCTGTTGGGCAAAGTTTGTATTAACTAACTAATGGACAGTCCCCTCGAGACATCGGTTAGCTTTTACCGTAATTTCACCGCTGCTCTCTCTCTCTCTCTCTCTGTCCTCTTTTAAATTACGATTCTGCCTATACAGAGAGATATGGGGAATATTTATTGCAAACGTTCATTAATCGACCACCGTCAATATCATTGAAATTCGACGCCTCTCTCCGCTCGCTGATTATCATATCGCATACTTGCCCGGCTCTTCCTCGCCGCCCATTTAATCATGATTCGCGCGAATACGCTATAAGTACCAAGGGCTCAGCGGGAGACTTCAAAAGAATTTATTTACGTTGGTTATCGTTAATATCGCTCACGGGTAGTCTCAAGAAGAACTTCGTTCAAAGTAGCGCGCTCCTCGAAGACGAGTCGCTACTCTTCACCTACGAACTCGAACATTCCTTTGACTTAGCGAGCGGCTTGAACATTATTGCTCGGGGCGGGCCGGTCTTTTGTTGGAAGCCAGTTAGTTACGTGACCAGCGGATGAAGCAGGAGGATAGGGAAGAGGGAAGCGGACGCGAGTTGTGTGAGTAAATTAAAAACTGTTGCTCAAAGTGAACTAATATCCGTGCGTGGAAAAACGATGCGACGTGCAACGTGTGCCATTCACCACTTGAGCCGTGCTGAGTGAAAATCGCTCTGCTGCGCGGAGTCTTTTTCTCTTTCCTTTTCTGTAGAATTATTCGAAATATCCACGGGGGAATATATCTTCGGACCTTTGCATCGCGCTGTCTTTTCATGCTGTCAGTATTTATTCCCAGATACTGAATACCGAGAAGGAAAGGAATCTTATTCAACATTCATTTGTAGTTTCATTTGTATCCTGATAAGTACTCGATTATTTCGAGTACTATCCGAATCTTCCAGATATTATCCGGGTACTCGAGCGTGTAATTGCTCGTTCTTATTATTATCATTTCTCTTTATTTATCCCTCAAGTCACTCTACACGCAAAAGTATTCGATAAAAAGTCCAAGTTTTCTGCTTAAAAACACGACACAATTAAGATACGAAATGCTTCGCGCCAAGTACCCTTCTTTTATCCTTACCCGGTAACACCTTGTTACACGGATTAACACGGCGGATACGTTTGCATAATGAGAGAAAAAGAAAAGAGAACACGATCCGTTAAAAAACATTTATCATTCCGGTTTAGTTGCGAGAAACCACCGGCGGTGGAACGCCCGGATTCTCTCGGAGGCAACCGGTTTCCGCGCGCGACTCGGAGCGCGCCGGGACTAATCATCTCAATTACCGCGCGACGAGGTAATAATCGCGAATCGATCGAGTGCCATTCTCTTGCGTCGGCGCGCGCGCTCAACATTGTTTCCGATTTCTCTCATTACCGCGTTCGCGTTTTCCGGTCAAGTTCCGCGCTCTCGCCGGCCGCTAAAATTACGCGCCTTTGGCCTTCGGCCATGACGATGATGACGACGACGCCGGCGACGTCGACGTTGACGCCGAGTTGTCGATGACGAAGTCGCGCAGGAGAAAGAGAGAGAGAGAGAGAGAGAAAAAGAGGCCCACCCTCTCCCCGTCTATAAATGAAAAATCGATAAGCCCGCGGCCGATCACAATGAGCCATAATGTCGATAGCGGATAACTCAGCGCGCCGCGATACGGCTTGGGGAGGGGAGGGGGCACCTCCCCCCCTTAACAATGTTCGCCTGCTCCTTTGAACCGTCAGGTGAAAGGGGGTTCGAGCTCGCCTTTGACCTTATCCATAGTCTACTACCTCCGACATTATCGCCGTCGGCCGACGAGAAGTCTTTCCCTCGAGGCCTGCTCGCGAACTCTCGCTGGCGCGCGCGCGCGCGCTGCAGATAACGCGCGGTATACTTTCGAAAGCGGCTTAACCCGCGCGCGAGAGCGGTGTGAGGGAAAACGTAACTCATCGGAAATGCGGCCGCACGCGTGGACACCCACGGGGTGCCGTGCCGCTTAATGCGCGCTAATACGAACTTATGGAATAAGGCGGAAATATCTCTCGCGTGCCGGCAACATTATTACACCGGCGGACACGCGCGCGCGAGCGGTAACTCCGCTGCGTTTACACGGATGATTATTTCATGCGATATACGTATGTACGCGCCCGATGAGGCACGTTCGCGAGGAGCCGAGCGTCTCCGAGCATCCCGAGGAGTATTCCGAGGAGTAGCCGCGAAGCGCGCGCGCACGCGTACGCTTTGACAAATCGCGCATTCATGCGTCGTAGCGCGATATATTTTATGGCAGCCGCTCCCCCGCCGGGCGACGGTAAATTCCCACACAGGGGAGCAACGCGCCATCACACGGCATCCACCCGCTCCCCTCCTCGCCTGCTCTCGGCGGCTTATTTAAAAGATTTAAAGCCGGCCCGCTCGCTCCGCCGAGAAGAGCGCCGCTTAACTCCCCCCCCCCCCNNNNCTTAACCCCCCCCCCCCCCATGTGGGACCTTTGCTTTTTTTATATCACACTGTTTAATAATAACGATGAATTATATTTTTATAGAGTGTTTCCCTCGGTCACCCCCGCTGCGACGCGCGGAATATTCCTTTATTTCCGAGAGGAACGATCTCTCTCTCTCTCTCTCTCTCTCTCTCTTTTTCTCTTTACGGTTACCTCCACGGTAATGCCTACCTGGGATATATATTTAGCC